TAATAGTTTTAATTCTGTGTGGGGTTGATGGTATGTTTTCCATCTTAGGTTGTTTCACCTAAGGAGAAAAATTCAAGAATTATTTATATTTAATCTCACAGGGATTTCCCCATGAAAGTTTTGTTAGTTGGTAATGATCTTTTTTGTGTGTCTTTGGCACAGTATCCTCTCTGTATGTTAAGATTGTAAGACATGAAATACTTTTTTTTAAAAACAATCCTTGATGCTTTGACCTGGTGGAACCTAAATTAAGACTTGGTGAACACTGGACTTGAAATCACTTGTGTTAACCCTGCAAGTAAGGACAAATGTATTTATCTGTAAATAAATAATTGATAAGAATTAGTAAATTATTAGAAGTTACTTTTAAGTTACCTCATTGCAAGGTGTTGCTAGGGTTGATTAATTGTTGCTTAATTGCTCAGTTGATTCAAAAGTACGAATGGCAAATCGGCCCTAAAATCCACATTAAAGAATTTTTCATTGTCTTTCCTTTTCATACACAGAACTTTGTTTTATAAGTATTATATTCTGTTCAGTAACTAAACATTAGCATTTTGAAAAGTTAATCAGTTGTTATGCACAATTTGTGCTTTAGGAATTTCTCTCAATGCTTTGGTTTGGTTTTGCCTTGCTGCTACTATTGCTAAGACCCTGACCCAGCTTGACCCAGAGCAGCTATATTTGACAGTGAGCTCATACCTGCAAAAAATATTTAGTCCGGCTAGCCTACTGTCTCAGGCAGAGATATATGTCCTCTAAGTCTTAACACAAGCACGTCACACATACTCAAACATACAGTGTAGACCAGACGAATGCTCACTCTGTGCCTTTCACTCACTGCCTGACACACACAAACACATACAAACATATGCTCCCCTCAGGGCTTCCTCATACTGCCGGTCTCTGGTGTGGTAACCTGACACAGTGGGCAGGGCAGTGTGTGACCTGTGTGTTTCAGCTGGTTGCCTGTCATCAGGAGGGCACAGAGTCTGCAAGGGCAATAATGTGTTGGAAGTGGGTTAGAGTGCCCTGCATTGCATTGAGGATGATGTGATTTTTTTTTTTTTTTTTTGTGTGAGTGTGTAGGGCTGTGAAACACGTCAATTTCCTCTTTCATTTGTAGAAAAACCATTTGAAAAATATGTAAAGTGGTGTTCATTTTCGTAAAATAACAAAAGTAAATGTAGCACTTTTGAATACCCTCATTAAACAGTTGATCAATATGTTAATGTTTTTATCTTTATTCATCCATGTTTGCTCTTTGTTCTGCATCATACCAACTAATGTTGTCATGCATTGTGATGAAAAGAAGACATGGAATATATAAAAGGTTAGCGTAGTTCAATCCAATATCAATAGATATGAGTGGAATAAATACATAAATGATCATGATAAATAAAATGTTTCTAATAATGTACTATTAAATTTGAAAGTAGAAGAATGCTGATGGTAATGGTTTACTTAAACAGCTGTAGAAAAAAGGGGGCAAACAATATGTCACCACAAAAGATTCAGCTTAAATTAGCTTGATAATAAAGCATACTTCCCATAGGTCCAAAAAAAAAAATGAAGCAATGAAACTGCACGCACACGTCAATAAATAGGCTTACTTGAAATATTATTTTTACTCACTACTTATTATCAGTGTGCTTAGATTTAACTGATCAATGCTATTAATTGGATTTAATTCATTTTGATCCTCCCATGCTAAATGTGCCTTCTACTGTATGTATTGGGCTTATGCCTTTCCTCTAGAAGGAAAATGTACTTTGTGCGATCTGAACTTTGTTTATTCCTAGATTGATTTTTAAACTGCACTAATACTTTCTCACCAAAACCTCAGTACATGGAGAAGATTATATTTTCTTTGTAAAGGCATACAGGTTTTTATATTTTCTATATGCAAACCTCTATGTCTGATATGGGAAAAAAAACAGACTCTTTTCAAGGAGAGGACAAGCTGTACAGAAGTTCATGAAGTTAAGAACTGTTCGAGAGGATGCGGACTGATTTTCATTCCTTTTGTAGAGGCATAAAGAATACTAATCAAACGCTGTCACCGTAAAAAGTATCAGTTCAAAAACAAGCAATTTGTAGTGTGTGCATACTTAGAAATATATTAAAACTGTTCTGTTTCAACTTGTGCAAGACATCTTAAAAAAACTGGAAAAATAAGACATTTATAATCAAGTAAAATTCTCAAGATTCATTAATTCAGTAGCATATTTGCTCTAAAATGCCTCATCGATGGCTATCCAGCTGTAATACATAACAGCCTGATAGGTGTATGCGTGTTTCAAGGCCAGCATGATGTGAATGACCTCTTTGGCTATGATGTAACTGGCCAGAGTCCTGTGTGAATCAGCTTCCCTCATGTCAGCCACATGTGATAATGCAGACTGTTGGCAGAGAGATGCAAACTTGAGGCCGACCGACACACTGACCGATCTGGGACACAACCGACACATAATAGTCCTGCTGCTGCTGCTGCTGCCGCCCTTATTGTAGATGTTGAGTTTGTATGTCTCTCTGTAGCTAAGTTCTTAAGCCTGGATAGCACTTGGTGTAACCACTTAAGAACAAGGATGTTATCTATATGGCTGTATGTATAAGCCAGAATTTGGAGATAGGAAGCATATACCGATACCTATACATGGCGATGATGGGACATTTTTGGACTCTCTGGCTTAGGATAGCAGACAAAATATAAAAAGTGAGCTGACATATGCATCAGATCTGAGTTAAAATAAAACATTATGAAAACCAAACAATGGTAACATATTGGTAACATCCAACGTCTCAGCACTGTTTTTGTATGGGATTATCATTTGTCTGTATATTGAGAAAAAGGCAATGTTTTGTTGATGCATACATAACGCCTCCTACCACTGCATCATTTATTTAAAATCTCTTCTTAGCTTATGTCACATTTTTGTCTAAAGGTGTCTTGGGATAATTTGTCATTTTAATATTGTGTCTTAGAGGGCATGTATATTTATATTTTTTTGTGCCATTGTGTTTTTTTTTTTGATAATGTTAGGTCAAAGGCAAATGTGCTTATTGGGAAGATATTAAAGAGGCTTTTAATAACTGTTATTGCTGTGAGATAACATGAACTAATGAAGAATAAAATCAGAAGCAGTAGTGTTTCCGGGTCTGTCGCTTTTCTTTTCATCATGCCCTCGTTGTCTCTGCTTCTTTCAGTCTATCCCTCTCAGTCTTTGCACACTGCAATCCACGTATTTATTTTTAATATCATTCTCCTCCCTGCCCTTCTCCTTGGTACTCGCTCAACACAAATGGCAGCAGTTGAGAATGACGTTACCATCTCCTTGGCAACCCTGTTGGCCGGATTCTGCGTGTGTTCAAAGAAGCAGCGGGAGTGTTGAGGAGAGAGCTGAAGAAAAATAAGAGGAAGGGGTAGAGGAGGAGAGAATAGGTAACGGTGGTTTATTCACAAGCCAACCCTTTCTGGCTCTGATTCACAATTTGTTCTGCAGCCCCTCCCTGCTATTCAGTATGATTGTCCAATCAGCTACGAGACTGCCACTTGAGATGAATGATTATCTTTGCTTTCTAATCCAAAGCCATTCATTTCTTTTGTGCAAGACTACACTTTGTGTGTGAGCAAGGGAGCTTTTTTTCCTCCAAAGAGACTGTGTCAAGCAGTTGTATCTGCCCACAGTAGATATTGTGGTTGTATTATCTGCCTCTGCAGAGGCAGGCTTGTGTAAGCAGAGTAGGGTTGAGGCATGTGGGTGTCCTGGTCAGTGATGTGGCGTATTGCTGATGCTAGTGCTGATGACGCCAATGCTGTTGCATTGCCTGGGTCCTCCCCACCCTGGGAATCCCTGCTTTGTTTGTTCATTCATCTCATCTATCCTGAAGCGCAGGCCGACATTGCACATCTGCATAGACAGAGACATGTATGAATCATAATTGTCCATGCTGCATACATTCACCTTGGGATCACAAATTAATACTTCAATGTGCAAAAATACAATTGTTATCGAGATTAACTCTTTAGTACCGCACTTTATTTCTTTGTAGAATTGACATTTGTGGGTGTTGTGCAGTTTTTACATTGTAGGACCCAAAGAAAAGGCACCTGGAGCCAAAAGACAGTGTTTTATTATTTGAGGCGACTTTTGCATGCATCATTATCCCCTTTATCAGCAGCTCCTCGCCCTGTTTCAAATCTCCTGCAGCAACACCAGAGTTTGTAGAGAGGGTTTTTAGGATGGATAGATTTGAGTGCGTCTTTGCTCGTGTTTGTGTATTCACAAGTGTGTAATTGCTAACATATCAGAGTTACTGCTTTGGAGCCAGAAGTCACCCCAAAGCTGTTTTTGCGGTAATGTTTGATGTTTTTTTTTATGCTGGAAAAATTGGTTTAATGACATAAGTTGTATGAAATACACAAGGGGGAGGGAAATACAAGTCATAAGGGTACGATTATCTCAAATATTGTTATAACAGCGATTTGTTGTTATTGGAGATATATGAGCCCAATTTAAAGGTTTTTTAAGATCCCTAGAAGTGCAACTAGAAGAGCTTGCAACTAAAGGTTGCCTGAAGAGATTTGCTTTGTTAAACCACAGTTTGTTAGACAAAGTATACAGGCCTTTTTCATTCTTATGATAGAAGATAAAGCTGGTGAATACCAGATATCTTGGTGCCATGATGCCAACTATACATAATAGAAAACACACGTTTTCCTTTTTATAAATTGTGGTGCCCACACGGTGGAAACTTCAGTTTAAACAGTAACAAAGTCAAATAATGAAAAATGTAGCCGTTTTAGGGAGATTAAAACTCACATGAGGGGCTCATTTATAAACCCTGTGAACGAGTATGCTCTGAGCTTTTAGCTGCTTTAGTCCCCCTCCCTGCTACAGTCAGTAGCAGCAGGGGGAGCAGCAGCAGCAGCGATGAGTCACCCAAGTGTGTGAAACATGACGTCATCCGTGTCTTCCTCTTCTGTTATCGGTGTTCAGGACTCCTGACTGGAGGACACACCATGCTGCTGCACTGAGCCAGAGGGAGAGAGAAGAGAGGACCCCGCGACGCCAGAGGTAGTGTGCCCCTCCCCCTTGACTGACTGGCTAGCTGCTACCTCCTCTATTCACTTGATTGCAGTAAATTTTGTGTTTTTTTTTTTTTTGTTGGGGGGGGGGGTTGTGCTTCATATTGTTCATTCTTTATATATAGTTTAAAAATGATTTGTCTTGTGGATCAAGATCCAGACTAATAGCCTCAAAATATTTCTTGGATTTTGTGTGAATCTCATTATTGGAATGAAAGCGTTAGCTGACGCTAAAACATCATGGCCCTTGAGAGAAAAGAGAAAAAGTCATTTATATAAACCCTGTTCCTTGTTCAGCTACAGAGGCAAACCTGCTGTTGATGTATACCCCCAAATAAAAAAGAAAGCTGGGATGTTGTGTAAAATGAAATAAAAACAGTGTGATGATTTGCAAATCCTTTTAACCCCATATTTATTTGAAAATAGAACAAAGTCATATCAATTTTAAAACTGAGAAATGTCCTTGTTATTGACAAACTACTGTATATGCCCAGTTTGAATTTGATACCAGTAACACATTTTTAAGAGGTTAGGATGGGGTCATGCTTGTCGCTCTGTTGCATTTGTTTATCTTTTAACAACTCTGTAAGCATTTTGGAAATTTAGTAGTCCCATTTCAGTAATTTTCGAAAGTGTCATGTTTTACCATTCTTGCTTAATGTAGTCCTTCAGCTGTTCAACAGTTCAGGGTCTCTTTTGTCTTATTTTACATTTCATAATGCTCTAAACATTTGTAATGTGTGACAAGTCGGGACTGTAAGAAGGCCAGTTTATCACCCAGACTCTTTTAGTAGAGAGCCATGCTGTTGTAAATACATGCTGAATGTGGAGTGGCACCGTCATGCTGAAATAAGTGAGGCCTTCCCCTTAAAAATACATTTGGCTGCATAAGTTACTCAAAACCTGTATGTATGGTTCAGCATTGATGGAGCATTCACACATGTGCCATATGCACTGATGTACCCTCATGCTATCATGGATGCTTGATTTTGTTGTTTCAACATGTGATTTTTAAGCATTTCACAACTTTTCAAGTCTTTTGTTGCCACTATCTCAACGTTTTTGAAACATATTTTTGGCAAATGATCACATTTTTTTTAAATTTATATTTCACACAACGTCCCAACTTTGAAGTTTGTTGGGCTTGTATTAAACTGGATGAAACAATCTGTTTTTTTCCATTGTGCAGTGTAAACAATAGTAATAACAAATGACTAAAAATGTGGTTATACTGTTTGTTCTGATATTTTACATGAAATAACTTTCCTACTACATCTTACTTTGTAACATACGATGTATCTTCTGTATCCGTTCATGTTAACCTTTGGCAGTTTTTCCCCCTTCATGATGGAGCATTTGATTTGCATCATTTTATAGAAAAAAAAAGGTGAATAACTAATCTGCAAAGAGCAGTCATTTAACTTGTTTCTTTTCTTTGTCTTTGTGTTGTCTCCTCAAAGCTGCACCTTGAAGGCTAAGACCTGCTATGGACTGTACTTCGCCCCCTGCTGCAGCACAGCCCAGTACACTACCTTAGTGGGTTCCCCTCATCTTCCTGTGTGTGGTTCCCATCTAGACTCACTGTATTGAGTCCAGAACAGATCTGGTACCACCTACAGGTAGATTGTATAGCACTACAGCCTCACATACTGTATGAAACCAAATATTACAACCCTGAAAAAATGATCAGAGACTTGAATTTATTTATTTTTATTTCTTACCTCTTTTCTCTCAGCCACTCCTGGGTTCTCCACCCAACCCCCTCCCCGACTCCCACCCTCTCCCCCTCCCCTAAGAAGATGTCAGTGAGCCTGACAACAGACATCCAGCAGGAGGGAGAGAGTGGTCCACTCATCGAGCCCGGTGGTCGAGGCAAGACATCCCCTCAACCACAGGGTATCAAGGAAGGGACAGGAGAGGGCCTAGAGCCGGAGGAGAGCTCCCAACAGGATGCACAGGTGAGGGGAAAAGTTAATATAAGAATGATATTAGAAAATTAACACAGTAATGTGCATTACACTAATGAATGAAAACCAATTCCAATCAGGAAATTAGTTAAGCTATGCCATAATAGTTGGTCTTTTCTTCTTGTTTATATTTTTTTTGTCGTAAAGACTGCCATTTTTATTAATTGCTTTAGAGAGCAGAGGCTTTATACAAATAAATTGACTCTTTCAGTGCAAATTTTCCTGAATATTTAACACAACCATTAAGGTAAAAGCATACTTTTTGGGAATAATTAGGACAGATTTGAGAATAATTATTTAATGGCACACTGCTAGAGACATCCTTTCTGTACATTTCAACAATTAATAAGAATAAAATTACAGAGTTGTATGAACACAAATGGATTTTTCAAGAAAGTGCTTCATGAATCAAAACTATTTCATCCTCCTCAAAATGATAGTGGTTGTGTCTGATTCCTCAGTTTTTTGGGTGTAATTTCATCCTGGTCATACTTAATAACAAATGTGCCTGGCTGACTTAGCTGATTGGGTGTTGAAACAGGTGACGTGCCTTATATAATAAAACCAGCTACTGGTGATTTAAGGAGCTGGCTCCATGGCAACGCCATCAGCATCTCAGCTTGACTTAATGACTCGAGAGCTGTGACGACCAAGTTTACATAGCGCATCGTGATCTCACCACCAATCTTTGGTCTAAACTTAGCTTTGGCCCTCCCAGAAGGGGGGGGGGGCTCTCTAACATGATTGGGGTTTTGAATTTGTGCATGTGGCGAAATGAAACAAAAATGCAGCGGAAAAGTTTTCTTTAATCTTTATTTGGTCAAGGCAAGAAACAACTCTGATTATAAATTTGCCACATAGTCACATTTCACACAGTCACATTTAACAATTTCAAATAGAAAATCTTGTACATGAATTGGTGATGCTATATGAGCTTTTAAAATTATTTTATACTTACCTTTGTTGCTGATGTATCTCTCATTTTTTTAAATAAATATTTTTATAAAACAGCTGCATTTCATTTTCAATGTGCACCTTTTGAAATCAGTGAAAACATACATTTCTCTTGCAGAAACGAGCTCCTAATCATAGCCATGGCAGGAAACGGGCCAAGGTAAGTTATTTGATTCGAGTGTTTTAAAAAAAAATGTGTTTAACTACAAAAACAGATACACAACTTTTAAAAGTCACCCTTTTTTATAATCCAGTTACCTGAAATAACCCCCCTGCTGGTTTGTTGTACAAAATGACCTTCCACTATTAACATTATAATCTAATCCAAAGGGGACCACCGTCTTCTTATCATTGTTTCAATCCTAAATTCCAGACTAGGTATAAAGTAGACTTTATACCTATACCGGAATACTGGAGTTTTAAAAGGCCAACCATTTTGACTTTGGTTGCATCACATATATAAGAAGAATCTCAACAGATGTTCTTGTCTGTGATCTCAATCATACACATACTATAAGAATAATGGCCCATTCCACACACACTTCAGGATATCTCCAAAAGAATGGGTGCATCCCCTCATTTGATGTCATGGAGTATTAGATGCCAACAAGTACTTTCAGGGCTTATATGGTTACTGTTTTGTTGGTAACCGGATGAGCTGCTCCGTCTCCCTGAAAACTAAATAAATAAAATGGATCTCACTAATGATTGGGGTGGTCTTGATTAGTCTGCGAGACATTTGGGAGGTTTAAGTCTTGATTCATAAACCTAATCTATGCACTGGTCAAGACCTGATTTCTCTGATTTCTCTTTGGGTCAGATGATAATTAAGCCAAAACTCTTCTAGACTGAGCTTGTCTTAAAGCTACAAATGAAAGTAATATGTTTAAAACAGCTGATTAAGTATGTATCCAGATCATTTTAAAACTACATGTGGTATGCCGAATGAATAAATAATGCTTAGCGCTGACTGCACTGACTGTATACTCTGCAAACTCCAGTGGTCTCCCCTATTTTCCTCCAGACTTTATGCACTGTTTACCATATATTTACAATGATACAAATCCTAATCAGTTTATTCTGAATAGTTTGGATATTCATCAAGATTTAGACTTTCAAATTCTTAAGCATTTACACCACCTCTAAATATCACTTGATTCTCTTCACATTTTAGAATGCAGGTGAAAAGCAGCATTCACCAAGAACGTGGGTTTTAAACCCTTTTAGCAGTTTTAGTTTTTAATTTCTACTTTTTACACGATATTAGAACCAATACTTTTGACATTCAAAGTGTGCATGGGAATGATCAGAAAACAGGCATTTGTAATGTCATGATTTTAATTTAGCCTCAAAGTTTAGCAGCCAGGAAGCTAAGAAGTTATTGTCACTTCTCCCTAAATGAAGCAAACACTGACAAATACAACTGAGTTTGCCTTATTCTTAACTTGATGATACGCAGAGGTCTTCATTGTTTTCTGGCATGTGTGGTTAGTTACACTTGAACATTAGAGACTGACCTCATCACTGTGTATTTTTGGAGCTGCTTTCTTATACGACACCATGCATACCTCAATATGCCCCCTAAATCTTGAAATTAGTTCCTCTTTGTTACGATTCTTCTTGGTTTTACGATATAGTCTGCATAGGGGCAGCTGCTTATCAGGTGAGGATGTGTGCTGACAGGTCTGTCAACATCATTATGGCAGAACACAGTTTTTTCACTGAGATTTTTGGGGATGCTTAATGATGCATTCAATTTAGATATCACATGGATTATGAATATTTCAAGTCAGTTTTCCAGGAACTTTAAATTAAAGTTGATTGGTGTCATTATCCATGCGATGCCAGCACTAAAGTTAGTTTTACTTCAAGCTGCACTTTGTTTATTAAGCGGCTCTTTTGCGTTTCCTCCCCATTTTTCTTCTTCTTAACTTCATGTTACTAGCACTTGTTTTTGAGCTTTGCTTTGCAACAGAAACGTAAGTGTAAACGATGATGATTGATAATTTCAGGAAGCAACAAATAATGGTTTAAACTGGGGTCACTAACCTCCTGAATTTTGAAAAAGTCACAGAATCTCTTAAACAAACTAGGTTAGTCCTTCAGGTAATGTATGTGTGATTCTGTTTCAGTCTAATGCCAAGCTGAAGCTGGTACGGAGTCTGGCAGTGTGTGAGGAGTCCTCTGGTCCGTTCCCCAATGATGGACTTCCAGAATCGGTACTGTTCCTGTCTCTAACCCCTAACCCCCCACCATAACCCTTGTCATGTAGTGCAGCTAGGCTAGCCTATAATTCTCATGTATTCATGCAAGTACTGTCTGTGTTGGATAATTCGTGTCTAACAGACTAAACGTGAAAAGAATTCATAAATTAATTTATTCTTTTTTACATGGCATTGGCATGTGGTTTCCCAGGATATCATCCAGCTTCACATCAGCTGTCCATCAGACAAGGAAGAGGAGAAGTCTTCCAAGGACGAGTATGAAAATGAAGAGAAGGAGAAGAAGGACAAGACTCCGCGGAAGATGTTGTCACGTGGTGAGATGCAACTTCGAAGCTTTGATGCATTTTGTGATTTTTGTCCTTACTAAACCTGTGTTGAGATCCACAGTGGCACCATGCTTTTACCTAAACAAAAATAGTTGAATCAATGAATACCAGGTGAGCACAGCTAATCAAATTTTTAACTCCAACCATTTATCCGTTAACAAAGATGTTAACTTCAATATCAGGTAATCATTTAATTTTGTGATAATAAACTGAAGTTAACAATGACATTAACCGGTAGATTATTATAAAAAATCGACTAAAACATCAGCTCGACTAAAACATCAGCTTTTTGCAATGTCAACAGATTAGAATTTAGGAGGCCATGATGACTTAGAAAACTCATTATTGAAATTACTAATAATGGACTTTCTCTGATTGAATACCTCTTCTGAAGGTTTGCAGACGGGCTGTGTGTTTTCTCATCATCAGCGTCATTTACGCAGCTACTGCTCTGTATATATCTCTCATGCTATACATCACTAGAAAACTACAATTATTGTGATTAAAACCATGTACCGGTAAACCATTTCAAAACCCAACTAACATAGCAGCCACCCAACTAACATAGCAGCCACGTTCTACCTAGCTGTCAGACCACCAACAAACAAACAAGTCTTTCTGCTTTCATTGGCAAAGAATCCCCACGATCCATATCCAGAAAAACATTTAATTCAAACATAATAAATCTATAGAGATCCCAGGCATGCTTAAAAATTTTGGCCGCTGTTCCCTGTTCTCAACTGTATTCTCCGTATTAATTCGTGGGATGTGACCTTTCGATTGACACCTCATTCGACCAATTAGGACCTTCCATTCCCCGTTCCTAGCTTACTATAGCCAATGAGAGCCTGAGTAGAAATTGGACTTTCTTTCACCCCCCTCTATGGCCGGCATTACACATGATACAGATGTGACAGTTAAAAAAAAAAAAAAAAAGGAGAACAACCGTGTCGGTCTTTAGAAAGTCAGAAAGTCATGAGGTCAGCTGACTGAATTCAGGTAATGAAAATTATGTTAACTGAAACAAGACTTACCGGAAGTAAAATGTTACGATTATTATTTTTCAAATCAATGGTCACGTTAAAAATTAATTAAAAAATGTAACACAAATGATGAACAGACGGATGCCCAGCTCTAATAAATGCTTAATATCAATGTCAGTTAAATGTCCCGCATTAGTCATCCTTAAATGGTTTTGTCACATTATGGTTGTAACATGTAAATATGATGTCCACTGTGTTAATAATACCAAAACTAATATGATGTCAAGCTAATTTCTCTGTCAGATAATGGGATCCCTCTGACTTCTTTTTTTTAATTACCTAGCTCACTCCTTCTCTCTCTGCAGAGGCCCTCAGGCATCATTACAGTCTGAGAGCAGCTGAGATAAAATGGCTAGCCCTACTGTCTAGTGTTATGGAAAACAGTAGAAAATGATACCCTGAAGAGTTTGTGTGTGTGTGTGAAGGCACAGAGGAGCAGGGAGCTGCTGTCTCATGCAATCTGCTGCTTATGTTTATCCTCCCTGAGCTACCTGTTACGTAGTTGCTATTGTGATGGGGTGCCATTTTAGAAACGGTGCTTGGCAGTGTTCTGATTTAACTCTTTCTGCACTTTTCAGAAGTGTCCGTCTTTTTTGAACCGTTCCTTTCTCCTTTCTCCTGTTTACTTTGTTCGTCTTGTCAGACTCCAGTCAGGAATACACTGACTCCACGGGCATCGATGTTCACGAGTTTCTGGTCAACACACTGAAGAACAATCCCAGGTATGAGGTTCCACAAAAGGTTGACAGCAGGAACACAACAACAGAAACGGAACAACTGACATGACAATACCCAGTTTGAAAATTTTAATTTTGTAGTTTGACTCGTATACTATCTGTTAACACAGAAGAGGTGAGACTTATGACTTTTACTGCAGCCAGTGAGCAGGGGGATCATCCTATTTCGCTTTCTGTTGTTTACACAATCTGTAGGTTGAAGTCAGAGGTCAACATTGCAAAATGACTGCAAATCTATGAATAATAACTGGATTAGAATTGTAAAGGGTTGAAATGCTGGAAGAATCAACATTGTAATTGAAGTGTAACAGCCATTATTAACAAACCTCACATCTGTGCTCTTTGGTTGGTATGCTAGCTGCACAACTGACACTGATCTGCTCCCCACTCTGAACTCTTCCCCCTTTCCTCTCTCCCTCTCTTTGGTCCAACAGGGATCGAATGATGCTGCTCAAACTAGAACAAGATATCCTGGAGTTCATTAATGACGACAAGTAAGCCATGTTCTCTGTAGCTACTCTCTTGAACATAATTTTAGCCAACCCAGGCTTATTAATAGATTGGCGAGGTAACCAGATAATTTTGGCCAAGTGTAGTTGATATTATGGGGCAAGTATGGGCTGGCAGTATTTCAGGCTAGGACTCCCTGTTCCCCTGTAACCAGAACAGTGTTTGAAATCTGTCTGAAAGCATTGAAAATTCATCTTGTGAGGTTACAAAGTGAGACATTCTGCTTTCCAAACAACTCAGAAAAACAAACCTTATGAGAGGGGATAGTACTTTTGGGAAATAAGACAGCCAAGGGTTTTACAAAAGTGACAAAAATATATAATTGGTGTTTTTACTGTGTCCTTTAAAAAAATATCCAAAGGGAAATTTTGCATGACGCTGGATGTTGTTCAAACCTCTTGTGAAACCTCTATTCTAGTGCTGTGAAGAATCCTTTTATATGCAAATACATTTTTACAATAAACAAATACCATAGTTGAGTTTTAAAAACATTTCAAATGCTTAATGTAGACATAATTATAGACTTCACAGAATACAGGGAAAATGAAAACACCTAGCAAAAATAAAACAAGCAATAACATTTTATCTCGGCACACAGATGAAATCATACTTGCTACTTACAACTTTGTTTTTGTGCCCCTTCCAGTAACCAGTATAAGAAGTTTCCTCAGATGACTTCTTATCACCGTATGCTGCTGCACCGTGTGGCCGCCTACTTCGGCATGGACCACAACGTGGATCAGACAGGCAAAGCTGTCATCATCAACAAAACTGGCAACACGCGCATGTGAGTTTTTGACTTTGCTCCAGACTTTAACAGCTGCAGCCTTAAAGCTACAGGAAACTCAAGCTTGAATATTTTTTATAGCTATGTTTAAACAACACTGAGATCTTGCAGGAATTTTATAACAGAACAAGAAATCATGCTGTGTTCTGATTTTCCAGATGTCAAAGTTTTAGTGTCATTAGAGGTTGCAAAACACACAACAACAAATCCAATCAGTTCAGGTTATTGGGAAAAATAATAAATATTAAGTCAAGATCATAAAGTAAATTTCTCTGTATTCATTTAATTCCTAAAGCAAGACACTGGTAAGAATTGCTTTACATTGTTAATAAGGACTTAAAAACTGTTTTTGAATGTAAAATAATGGAATTTTAAACATGCGATTGCGATTAATCACAATTAACTGTTGAAATTCAGAGATTAATTCCAATTTTTTAATTTTCTCATTATACAGCCTTTTAAAAGCCTGTTGTTCTTAACTTTCCTTACAGCCCAGAACAAAGGTTCTCTGAACACATCAAGGATGAACGTAACGTGGACTTCCAGAAGAAATTCATCCTCAAGAGAGATGATGCTAGTATGGATAAAGACGATAATCAGGTAAGCTACATCGATGGAATGGAAACGGTATCATATTTATAGTGAAGTTTTCTCATCGTTATCACAGGATTTGTATTTAATGGTCCATGTCATCGACTGTATATAAAGATGGACGATGCATCTCCACTTGTGCATCATCACATCATTTGACACCTTTTTTATAGCATCATATTACTTATTAAAAATACATTTCTCAGAAAAAAGTATACTTTAACACAAATCAGCCTGATAATAGCTAACTATCATGGCAGAAACAGGTTTGAGAAAAATTCATTTGACATGGGCTTTTACTTTAAAATTTGTCAATTTCAGAGAGCTATTGTATTGTCCATCTTTTTATTTTGCTTTTATAGTCAATGATCTATACCTGAGCCAACCTGTAGGTTGTATCAGGGCTTCCCAAACCTTAATGTTTTAACCCCAAATGGTTGAATCGATCTAATAACAAAGTTTAATTAGATTTTGACCCAGTGTGTTTGCTTTGTTGCAGTCTAAAGCCAGTTTCTCTCACAACAATGTTTATTTTAAGCACTAAAAATGTCCTCAGCACCTGATTCTTGTACATTTTGTTACATTCCTGTATCATTATTCTTCAAGTGTTCTATCACGTTTGTGGTGCTAAACCTTCCCACGCTGATTCTAGTCTTCAAAACACTCACTCTCCACACTTTCCAATCTGTTGTTTTGTTTTGACAGCAGGCAGCTGCTCTCCCTTGCAAACTATTGTTAATATCATGTGACTTTCCTACTTCTCATTATAGCAGATCACACTCATTGTGGCCATACAAGCATTGACAATTTCAGTACATAGTAGTACATCACTATTTTCTAATGTGGTTGTTTTCCCAAATGTTAGATCCGTGTGCCGTTGCAGGATGGGCGACGAAGCAAGTCCATTGAAGAGCGAGAGGAAGAGTATCAGAGGGTACGAGACAGGATCTTTGCCCGGGAAGTAAGTATTGAACAAACACTGAGAAAGGCAGATGAACATCATATTACAATGAAGTTCACAGTCATTAGCTGTTGCCTCCAATAAAGTAACAAGTGTAAGGTCAATATTTCTTCAGTTCATTTGAAGAATGTTTTTTTTTTTTTTTTCCTTCACGGACCATTTTATTGGTTTACTAAAAAGTGTAAAGAGCTAGAACGACACAGAATTTGACAAAAATACATTATGGTACAACTCAACTCTAAACTGCCTTGCTTGGAACAGTTTTTCCTTTTGAAAGAGTTGTATATAGAACCTCATACCATCCTAGCAAGTAGTTGTACTTCTCTACCAGAAGCTCCAACCAACCAGCACGTGTTTAACAAACACGTGCTGTTTGTTAAAGTTGAAAACTTGAAAACTTTGGAAGGTGTGATTTGCCAAAGAAATGTTTGTCTTTTTCTTGGTCAAAAGTGCGTTTGAGTAGATTAATCATTTCATAATGTGCAGGTGTCCTTTTTTCTACAGTCATCTCAAAATGGATACATCAATGACAACAGGTAAGACGATGCTTCCTACTGCAGACTCTATTGTCTTCTTTTTATAAAACTCACTGCTAGTCATCTTTCCCTCTAAGCTTCAGTTTGTTTGTTAGGTAGATAGTTAGGGCACATTATGTATTGATTATTTTTCCACACAGATGCAAGAATCTACCCCCCACTGCAAGACGTTTTTAGAACTTTATTTTTTTCCGCACATTTTTTTATTCTTTCCAGTGCCAGACAAATGGTCAATATGCTTTGCAGATGTTTCTTTAGTGAATGATTTGAGTTAGGGGTCGACTGATTATCAGCCTGGCCAATGTTAGGTATTTGGTCGACTATCTGTACCAGCATTTTATTTTATGAAAACCGATCAAATTGTCTAATTTAAAAGTGTACTCCTTTGGCTCCACTGCAGGTGTGTCTTTCCCTCTGGGTCTGTTTTTACTCACCACTCTGTCTCACCTATTGTCCCGCCCACAACACTATCTGGTTTGCTAGACGTCTCACGAGTAATAGCCAATCGGCTCTAAAGTGTGGGTACCGCTGAGATGGACCGAGACAAAAGCAACCTAAAGAGTCTCAGATTGAGCAGGAATTTGTAAAAATCCTAATTTAAAATTTTGACAGAAAGATTTACGTTTTTGTCTGTAAATGCATATCGTTATAATGAACTACTAATTATAGGTATTTGTATCGGTCCTGAAAAAAACAATATTGGTCGACCCCTACTTTTAGTCTTTTGAGAAAGACTGGTAGGTATTGAAACAAATGTTTTCGTGAAAGAGGTTTGCTCATGCAGTGATGAGCTTCCATCCTGTAGTGCCCCGTCCTCTTGAGGTGAAAAGATTGATATTCTTGAAGAGATTCTACCTAGTGTGCCTTTTGTTTCCTTATTCTTTATCTTGTTCTTTTCCTTAAGGGTAAAAGTTCTACACTGTACCATCCTCTACCTGACACCCCTCCTTATTTTACCCTCCCCTACCCCCCCTTCCCCCCTGTTCTCCATGCAGTCCTGTAACCCTAGCATTTTCTCCTAATGTTAACCCCAACAGACTTTCCACTGAGGGCTACTGCTCTAGTTCTCAAAAGAGGAGGCAGATCTTTAGGTATTGGGGTGCTGCTGACCTTGACTTGTGTGTTGCCATGCCCATTTTTTAAAAGTGGTTTGGTGATGATAGTGGTGACTTGTGGTGGTTTTTCTATATCTGCTTGGCGTAGTCGGCTGATTGATGGCTCTTCCAGCACTGCACCGTGGGGCTTCCCATGGCCCATGCATGGCTGCTTTGTGGTTTCACTGGGGACTGATTGACCTACTTTACCCTCCACCCATCCACCTTCAACTACATATTTTTATAAAGTAACTGCATCGCTTCCACAGTAACCTGTTTGTTTTGTGGTTGACTTAGTCTTGTAGTTTTTGTTAACATGTCACCTGTTGCATAATAGCATTGAAAAGTATGTAAGCAGTGCAAACATAATATCAATAATTTACTTACAACACATTTTAGCAAAGAAAAAAAGCATTCTTGAGACTGTAAAGAAAAATGGCAGAGTCATGATTTGTAGGGATGCATCAACTTCTTTTTAAATCATTTGACACCGTTTCAGATTGTTTTTGGTCTATGCCAGTGTTTTGTTGTCCTTTATTTCACCCATTTTGTGAAAGGAACAAAAAATCGTAATTATGAGCAAATAACAGCAGTTGAATGTCTTTCATCTTTTAATTGCACATTTATCAGAACCAATTTAATCATACAAGAACCGCTAGAAACTACCAGTACCTTAATGTTGAGTGAGAAGCTTCCATCTAAATTTCCCAAAGGCAATATTAAGTGAAATTTTGGTCATTTTGAAATTGATTTTGAAAAGTGTTTAAGACGTGTCTTGTTGCATTCTACTCGTCTTTTTTTGAAATCTCTACTTTTACTGTTTCATTAATATAAAAGTAAAAACGTTTAACAACTGAAACTAGGATTATCATGTAGATGAAGCCTCCTTTGCCCCTCACTTTTTGAAGCTTTCTGCTTCAGATATTTTATTGTGCAGTTCTTAGATCAAAATGTTGTTTAACAGTTGAATCATCTGATTATTTGGCCCCATCTGTTCATTCCTTTCTTTTTTGTATTTTTGCTGCTTGCTCAAAATTCTAAGTTGAAGCCAATATGTATTCCGATGTAGTTTAAGTTTTAAGTCATATAATGTCCTTTTCACATTTAACCTGAAAATGAAGCATTCATATAAACTATTTTAGGTTCTAATCTTTTCTAGATTTAATATTATCAAACCAGACTTCACCTCAATGAATCAAACAAAGAAGCTTTTTTGTGAAGACAGAGAGTGATGGAGGCTCATAACAAAAACAACCTAGCATCCCTGCCACGTCTGTAAGTGCACGTGATGGGGAATGCAGTCGTGAGGAGAGACTGGAGATGAATTATCATGTGATCAACAGCAGAGTCCCTCCTCCTCATCTTCCTCTTCTTGCTCATCATGCTCTCATCTTTGTCTGCAGAATACTCTGAGCAAGTGTGAGCCTCCCCTTTCCAGAGAACGGCAGAGCACCCACCCTTCCTTAAAATAGCCTGTGCAGAGAGAGGGCTCAAAATAGATCTTCCATTAATTACAGTCTCTGTGAAATATTTATCAGCCGCAGCCACCTTCAAACAGCACTCACCATCACAAGGGTTTTACAACCCAAACCCACATGCCACATCCCTGTTCTCATCATGGAGATTCCCACAATCAGCCTTGCATGTTTTGAATTCATTTAACTCTTTGTGCACGGACATAGTCTGTTCTTATCCCTCTTCCAGTTCTAAGGGCACACTCACACTAGGCTCAGTTGCCCCGTAACGTGCTGAAGCACGATTGCCCCCTCCTCCCCAGTCCCCCGCTGCACTCGCATTCCTCTGAACACGGTTACCTCTGCACATCATCCTCTGCAGTCATACCTGTAGTGCTGCCAGAGCGCACCAGAAAGGCTCTCCAGGTTTATTTCACTAAGTTAGGAAAAATAATATTTGCAGTTTGCATAATCTGGTTTAAATTCATAAATTACACTTTAGTGATGATCAAAAAAATGTGTAAGAGATATGTTAAAAACAAACACATTGGACAGTTAGCATTTTGACATTTAAGGTGTCTTGATTAATTCATGACGTCACCTTGTGCACTAACACGAAAGAAAGCACTCCATCCTAAAACATCCGGCAGCTGTCAAAGACTGTATGATCGCGGCACATTGAATTTTCTCTAGGCTATCAATGTAGTACAAGACTACAACTTTACTGACTTATTTTCAGTCATTTTGTCCAGATACAGCACTCTTGAGGATTTCTTGATGATGCAAGGCGAGGATCCATTATATAAAGTCATGTCCATTTGGTCCCCGTGCTTGTGCTCTTGAATGAGCAACGGTACCGTGCCGAAGCGCACCTCTTCCAACAGTGCCAGGGCTAAGGTAGTGTACCATGCTTCAGCACGGTATGGAGAACTCACACCAGTCAAACAAACTGGACTTTTGGGGATCAAACATGCTTGGGCACAGTACAGATTGCCTAGTGTGAGTGCGCCATAAAATTATGGGGGAGGGGAAAAGAAGACATTTTCAGCAGACTTGGCTCTAGTTTCTTTGACTCTGCTACCCTAAATGCAGAGTTGTAGGACTCTGTTCTATCTCTAGTCAACATAATGCCATAACAAAATATGTACAGCACGGTTTCCTTTTCTAATTGTTTTATTTTTATTTTAAGTTTTTCAAGCACAGTAGGACATGTTCAAATGGAACAAAATTATTCCACCGGTATATGCTGACCTGTCAGGGATGATGGAGGGGTTTCCTCAGTGTGCCGGTTAAGCTCATGGTGTGATCATTGGTTTTCTTGGCAGCTACCCTTATCCAGGGTGACAGCAGCACAGCAACACAATGAGTGTGTATACAGCAATACAGTTTAAAGAACCATAGTGGTGAACCAGTAGTAGCAAGTGGTTATTTAGTCGTAAATGTGTGTAAGTCTGAGTGTTGATGTACATCCTCCCTTACTGTCTGAGAGTTGATGTGCATCTGGTATTAAATCACAGGAGTATGTGGGTGTCCTGTTCTATATCATTTATTGTCTTTACTACAACAAACTGAAAGTGCATGTGTTATATTTTGTGTCATCACATGTATGTATGCTAGAACTTCTTTATGTAAGTCTTTTATGTGAATGTTGACCCCAGTCTCCGACTGTTTGTGTGTTGAATTCTTGGGCGTTTGTCTCATCTAGTGTCCCTGTGAAATCCTCCTCCACCCCAGTGTTGATTGTCCGGAGCATCTTATCTCCTTGCATGTATGTTTTCCTATGAGGATGGGTTCCTATGCGTGTTGTGAATGTGTGAAATTGTGTGTGTGGTCATGTTTAAAATTGGAATAATATTGTTTGGTGGTTTGTTGCTTGATTTTTGTATCGTGGTTTCACTAAACCAGCCAAAAATGCATCTGTGTTGAATGCCCCATCATAAAGCCTTTCACACTGTGTGTCTTATTTACCTGTTGATGACCTCGCTGTGCTCCTCTGCTCTCTCCTATTTTGTCCTCGACTATCCTTCTGTTTCTCTTTCCATCTACATTCATCTCTGCTTCAAATTCTCCCATTTATTTCCGAATATGCCTCACCCTATCACGCATACCTCTGACTTTTTATCCTTCAACTTTTCTTTGTTTACTTGCTGCTTCTTAATTCTCATCGCTTTATCTTTCCTGTCACCTCTTCTTTTCCCCCTCCTGTGCATGTGTCCCCATTATATCCCTTTCATTTCATCTTCTCGTCTCTCTCTTCTACCACCCTGTTCTGTCGTCTCTCAGAGGGAACCGCGAGAGCTCCAGCCGGGCGTCTAGCAGTCGTCAAAGCAGTACAGACAGTGACATGAAGTGCCTGGAGCCACGGCCCTGGAGCAGCACTGACTCAGACAGCTCCAACCGCACCCTCCGGCCGCCCGTCACCAAGGCTAGCAGCTTCTCTGGCATCTCTATTCTGACCAGAGGGGATAGCCTTGGCAGCAACAAAGGCTCACAAGGAAGCTGCAAAGGCTCTCGCTCTGGTAAGACCTATGGAGAAAAGTTGGGGGAAAAGGAGTCTTTGTTCCTAAAATGTCATTGTTTATTGGAATTATAACTACTTTAGTCAAGCAAACACAGCACAAAAAAACCATTGCCAAGAATAAGGTAGGCCACATGTAACAACAAGAAGATACTTATTATGAGAATATATCCTTCATCCACTTATTTGTGTGAAGAGAAGTAGAACTAAACAATCACCCACAAACAGTATTGACATATAACTGGCAACTTAACTCACAGACAGCTCTATAACCCGGCTCCAAGGACTTTGATAGCATAGCAACATTAAAACTATAAGTAACCGCTATCTGTACTGGGGTAACACCAGTTTTCTCTGAATTCAAATAGAAAATCTCAAGTTGGGAATATTTGAATATCTTGTCCCTGAATGTAATGTGTACCCCTTTTTCAAATGCAAAATCCAATCAAATAAATAATGACTTCAACATTTCCACTAAGTTATTGCAAAGTGTAATCATTGTCTACAATAAATAGCCTCAGGTCCAAAACAAAGATTAACCTGTCCACAAAACTGACAATATGTTTTTAAAAAAATGAAATAAAAAAGAAGAATACAACAACATTTTGAGACATCAATAACAAGGATAATTTTGGTGGGTTTCTCAGTTTGCTCAGAGCAAATATAATATAAGAAATGATTTCCTGCATCTATTATGTCTTCTTCTGCAACACTAGACCTGTTTCCTGATGTGTGTCCTCCACCTGCAGCTTCCCAGTCCAGCCGTAGCCTACTCCCCTGCCCGACACAACAGCCACAACCACAGGCTCCGCCTCAAACTGCCCTGCTGCCCACTCCACAGCAACACCCCATGGGCAACCACATGATCGCTCAGGTACGTACCTCCACCACCTGCGTGAGTCGACTGTATCAGTGAAAATGCTGAAGCACTTTCATGTTAGAGCTTCTCATCCAATCTGATTATAAGTATGACATAAGAGTAACACATAGTTCTACTCTGAAAGGGTTGTTTATTGAATAAATCAGTTCCTCCAGGAAGTTGCGATCCTGTCTATACACTCAAAATCAACCGATCCCTGAACCTTTTTACGGGATCTTGCAATTTCGACCAATCTCTACAACTTTTCTACAAATTTGTCCATACACTCATTCTCCCTGTATGCGCGAACATTCAAGTCAACAGTTGAAATTCTTGGATATTCAAAATGTTGACCCCCTTTGGTCTGCATTGTTGTAGAAACCTCAGAGTGTTTACTGTGTCTTTATTACCTCTGAGACACTGCTTTCTTGGTTTTTTTTTCTTCTGTGAAGCGGACAGCTTTAATGTTGAAAATAGGCACCAATGTGAACGTTTCTGTCATAAGCCCTAAAGAGTCTTTACTGAGGGTCCTAACAAAAAAGACATAATTATCGATAAATAATGTGTGTGAGGTCAATAAATAAATAATGTAGCTCAAGTAAAAATAAAGTACTTTGAAAAACAATATAAAGGTGATGAAAACATATGTTATAGCGCTTACCCTTGTCTCTCTGAGTAGTCGTAACTTTCTTCACTTTGTTAACATTTTTGTTGCTTCCGTAAAATATTTGGAAACTAAATGTTTTTCCATTTCTTTTCATCTGTTTATTCACAACTTTTTCCTCTGTGTTCTAACACACATATTTCCTGTCTTAATTGCCTTTATTTACTTCACTCAATTTGCTACTTATACCTTCCTTCTCACTGGCTTGCTCCTCTGTCTCTCTTCGACCTGTTTATTTCCTCCCTCTTTCTGCTGGTGTGTGTAGCCGGTGGCGTCTCTGCAGCCCTCTCAGCCTGTCTCCTACTCCAGCCCTTCCTGCCCCCAGGTTCTCCTGCCAGTTTCTCCTCCCCAGCAGTACACAATGGTACTGACACCTCTTGTAGCTTATTCTCTTTATATAGATGTAAAGGTTGCTTTACTGACACCCTCACACTACACATATAGACATCGATTTATTGTCTTGATAGCTTACAATCTAACTTCCATACAGTTTTCATTCATTTCAGAAAGGTTTTATCAATAATTTAGGAATTGCTGTCTCTCAGGCTGCAGAAAATGTGATTCCAGTTGAGACTTACTTTAGGGCCAGGTGTCTAATCCCTGTTTATACTACATACAAGTACCTTTTTTTGTATGGTCGTTGTTTCTGTTGCAGTTTACTTTCTCCGAATTAATTTTTGTTAAATTGAAAATCCTAAAAAGTGGATTTTATATGAAACTACTTTGCATAAATTACATCAGTCCAATGTGTTTCAATTTGTTTGGTAATGCCTCCCAAAGTACATCCATGAAATTACAGAAATTTCATTGCATTCATCCTCCCAGCCATGTGAACCTCAGCAGAAACCAGATTAGTGTTTGTGCAGAACAGAACCATAAAGAACCTTTCCTTATGGATGTTTGGAAATAAACCTGTTTTCTGTAAAAACCACAGTTGAATCCAGATGCAGGCATGCACCCATGACATAAAAAAACCGGAAACTTAGTGCATGCATTTCAGCGCGTACATGGAAGCATTGCTAAATAAACTTGTGGTTAAACTTGCTGACAAACATGCATTACTTCAGCTAAGAACTGTATTGCTCATAGACAACACTGTCTGGAAACCAGTCCAATAACAAATTTATTTCTGAAAATCTGTGAACATTTGGTGTGCCCTTTGCAGCATAAGTAACCATGACAAACCAGCCAGGTTAAAAAATGAGCCACCTTCATGACTTTGAGAGCTCTCAGTCTCTAAAGGCAGTTATTACTAGTTTTTTGTAAATACTGTGAAAACAATATTTAAACTAATAATTTCAATGCAGTTGATTCAAAGTTATTTTATAACATGGTTTCCATCCCTGGCAGGGAGAAGAGCTGCCGCCCCAGTTTAGCCAGATGACGCTGAGCCGGCAGGGCTCGAGTGAGAACCCTGAGCCGCCCCCAATGTATCAAGCTCCTCCCACGGTGTTGTCCCAACACCCTCCGCCTCAGACCAGCTACATCATGGCTACTACAGGCCAGCCTATGCCGCCTCCATCTGGTTACCAGCCTGCCACTGGACACCCCCATCCTCCACCTCCACCACCTCCTCCATCCCAGCCAGTCATGCAGGCCCCGCCGCCCCCACAAGGCTACATGCAGCCACCTCCTCCACAACAGGTACACCATTTTCCATTATCTTCTCAAAATGTATGCTTTAGTAGGTCAGCTCACATAAAAGATGTCTTTGAATTGTCATAAGAAATAATACACTCTTTAAATATGTTCCCTCACATGCTCTTCTGTGAGACATAGATTCCATGAATATCACAAACCTTCTTTGTTATGTGTGACATATCAGTGATGGGATTCCTTTTAAAGCAGCTCGGTTCATTCTGTTTAGAGCGCCGTGTGTCACCTTCACAAGCTTGGTCTCAGTCAGGCAGCCTACCCTGACACATTGGTCTGACTGCAGAGGCGGTGACAATAATGAGTTCTCTCACTCTCTGTCATTCACACTCTGCTTTCTGCCCCTCCCCCCCGCAGGATTTAACATGCATCAATGAAGTAGTAATAATAATTCATTTGAGGAGAGGGAACCAATTGACCTGGCCATTAAGCCCCCTATGGGAGACATTAGTGCCCTATAATATTGCTCTGGGGCTACGCTGTAAAGAATGATTAGTAGTGTTTTTAATAGCTGAAGTGACTTAATTTTTTAAACAGCAATAGTCTTGGGTTTTTATGAACGTAATCTCAGGTCAATTTAAGGCAGCTTGTTAATTAGATCAGTGATGGAGAATAGAGGCTTTTACTGAAAGCAGTTGCATATTTACAGAACACAGAAAGATGTGAAACCAGTGATTATTCTGCTTTCACATACAGTATATATGTTTATGGGACTTCAAAGTGTGGTACATATTTTAAAAGGTCCTTCCATGTGCATTCTTTTACAGTAAAACCTGTTTAAAGTGATTTTGCCTTTTTACTTGTTCTGTATTATAATTCTCTCTGTGCTTTGATTTTGTGTTTCTGAGCTCTGACCTATTTTTACATCCTTTACATCCATTCTTACCTTTTATCACCCTACTCACCTAGCTATATTATCCTCATTCTTATCCCCAGTCTTACATCTCCACGCATGTATGAACAGAATAGGCTGGGGGGAGAAGAAACGCTATATTTAATGTGTGGGTGGTCGACAGTTTAACCAGAGTTTAAATGTTGACACTGCTGCAGCTTCTAGATATGCTAAATGTTGTCACGTATGCAGATGAAGGTGGAGGCACAAACTATCCATCCTCTAAAATTCAACTTCTGCTATGTTTGTTGGTTTGATGTCTAATTGGAAATTCTGTATGCTACATTTAGTTGTGTAAGCAGCAAGTTGTTCAAGTGTCAGTGTTAACTCTTGCACTTCTGTGTCTGCTGTACCTGGATAGTTTCTTTCTAGAAGTTCAATTCTTCAGGCATTTGATTAAATCTGCCATAATCCAGACTTTTATAACAACATGCTAACTTTTAAGTTATTGTTTTTGCTTTACCCATGCTTATTTGTTAGCTAGCAGGTACAGCGTCACTGGTCTCTGTCTATGTCAAACCCTCTTAAAACAGACTTCACAAAACACGCAACAAACAAAGTCTTCAACTAGCTGGTGAACATTTCAATATTTCTTGTGAAGTGTGTTGCGACTTTTAAGAGAGTACGAAAAGCCCAAGACAAAGTTGATCTTGAGTCTCATGGAAAAGAGAGAGTTATAATGTTTTGGGCTTTAATATTATTAAGTTAATAGACATCTAAATCCAAATTAGTGCAAAAAGGTGACCTATCAGCTAGATTTGTGTTTAAAAAAAAAAAAAAAGTCCCTGCAACCCTGACAGCAGGTATGACTTTCTTTATTCATATTGGAAACAATGGATTGTAGAATAATGCACAACATAATATATTACATACATAACAATAAAGTAATGATTAAATCTCAATGCAACTATAGAGAAGCAGTACCTTTTTTCTAAATGAAACACAAACAAAAAACATCAATGTAAGAAACACGATGGCGCCATGTCAACACAACATCCTCCTTTCACTGAAGGAGGAGGCTAAGCACATCTGTAGACCTGACACACACCATCAGCAATGACCCACTGGCACAGCGCTTTCCTCTCTCCTGCTTTTTTTGCTGTGGACCTTGATTGCTAGTCGGTATCAGGTGAGCTCAATCACCAGCTGCAGTGGAGAGTAGGGAGAGCACCAACCTGCAAAAGACAGGAGAGAGAGAGAAACACTGTTTAATGGCACGTAACAGTTGAAGAATCAAAATCACTTTCATGCATCAAAAGTTACATCTCTTTAGTTTTCGTGTCTTATTATTCCTCTAAGTATATTTCTTGTTTGTCCTCAGATACAGGTGTCATATTACCCTCCTGGTCAATATCCCAGCTCAGGCCAGCAGTACCGTGTGCCCCAGACCATCTCCCACCAGGTGTCTTATCCTGCCCAGCGCACACAACCCATGCCTCAGCCCACACAGCAGTCAGGTCTGTACTTTTTGTTACCACTTGTAACTAAGACATACAATCTAGTTTGTGTTATTCATATGTTCACATGTCCCAAAACAACGTAGAAAATGAATGTATTTCTGTTTTTTGTTTTTTTTACTCATTCAGGGCACAGTTCAAAGTGCGCTAATCTCTCGTCAGCACAAAGGTGCAGTCCACTGTTTCATAAGTGTACTTTGTTGTTCCTGTGCAGAAAACTGCTTTATCATTCTTGGTTTTTAGCCCACCAGGTGAAAGGCTGGATGTTAACCTTGTCCTGCAGTATTCTGCCAAGTCTAATATGTTTGGACAGAAATAGAACACTTTCATCTTTTCCTGGAAAACTTTGACAACTTTATCCCTCAATCCCCCTCATTTGGGATCTGTGAAGGTTGGCTATGTATGTGTACACAGTACATGACAGTAGCCATTGTTGACAACCTTAATGGACTCTGGCTCCGTGTCGAAGCCTGCCAAATCCTCATCGATCATGATGATCGCTGCCAGTGAGATCTAGAATTACTCAAAGGTCTGCTGCTTGAAGTGAAATACGACTTTGAGAAATTATATCAAGAGTGTGAACTTTGACCTTTGGAAAGTCACTCTAGTCAGTCAAAGACATCAACATTTTTAAGCACTTGCCGGGGCAGGCACCAAGAGCCTGATTTTGTTTGCCAGAGCACATAAAGGTGGCCCAAATAAAGTGAAAACAAAACAGAAAAGGTTAGTCAAAGCAATGTAACACTAAGTAGTTCCTACAAAAGCTAATTGTGCCGAAAAGCGTTTGATTTTGTGCATTTTATTTTTTTCATCTGTTGTTGGTGTTAAAGTGTCTGATTTTATCCTTCCAGGCAAAACAACTTTCTTCTCCCTTTTCACCTCCTTTGTTCTTAAGATCATTATCTTCCTACTCCCTCCCTAAATATTCTCCTCCATTTGTTGTGATGTCAGGTCTCCAGACCATGATGCCCAGCCAGCAGTCGAGCTACCAGGGCATGATGGGTGTGCAGCAGCCTCAAAACCCCGGTCTACTCAATTCGCAGAGGGCAGGCATGGGAGGACAAATGCAAAGCATAATGGTTCAGTACCCACAGATGCCATCATATCAGGTATGCATACATTTTTAAAACATCTGTGGGAGAGACTGTATGTGAAACAGGAGACACTGACTCATTTACATTTGTTACATAACTGAGCCCTGAGTTAATATATAGTTTGATCCTATATCTGATGATATGAATGATGAATACTTTATGAACAATCATGTGTATCCTTACACCAGAGTGATGCAGTTGCAACTAAGTTAACAGAAAGCACATTGTACAGTAAATAGTGTGGAAATGGCAAAAATGGATGCAGAGGGAGGTTAAAGTAGCAGCAGTAGTTTTGAATTGACTATGTTGCTAAACTCCTCTCTCCTTTAACTTTTAAAGATTTGGAAGCAGTCAGGGGAACCACAGTATATTTTGGTTTAATTACATTTGACCCCTTTCCCTTTTCCAGGTACCGGTGGGAAATGAGAACCAGCAGGTGGTACAGCAGCAGTACCAGCAGCAAGTGATGGTGCCAGTCAGCCAGTCTGTCCAAGGGCCCATGCCTGTCTACTACAGTGTTATCACACCCACTCAGCAGAATAGCACAAGGTATGGAAGACATGTAGTTTTCATTGATAAACATTTCACACATGATCACTGTACTGAAAATACACAGCCATTGATGTGTTAGTGGGAGAATTTAGTTATTACAGTTAAGTTTTCTTCATTTTTAAATTGTCATTAGTAAGTTTTCTTTTGTTGAACTTGCCTAACTTCTTTTCTTTTTTTTCTTTTTTTTTTCTTTTTTTTTACAAAATGTGGAGGCTTTACAATGAGCCCTTTATGTTTTTACATTGATCTATCTGCATTTTTGTTTAGTTTTCTGAATTTGCTCCTCTCACCAAAAAAGAAAAACTACAATGTTAAAAAGTAGTTTAATCTGAGAAGAGTTGGGCAAAAATGTGATAACTTACAGATAACTGCTTAATATAGAAACTTGACACCCTGGTAAACACACATTTCATTTTTAAAGTTGTTCTGTGTGTTGGTGTAATTGACCTTTTTTTAAGTTTATTTATTTTCTCCCTGTTTGTGTGTTTCCATCCTGCAGCCCCTCTGTAGGTTACCTGCAGGCCCCCAGCTCCGAGCAGTATCAGATCACACAGTCGCCGTCCCCGTGCAACCCTCCACAGCTGCAGCAGCAATATTCAGGTGAGACATGCTGTTAGTAGGTTGTATTGCATAACAGTGCAACTATTTTAGCTAACAGTTTTGATATCAATCATTTGAACTGTTGTGGACACAAATCCCTTCAAATTAATATTTGAAGTATGTTTTATTACTTTTCAATCCAGAATTAGATGTCTTTATTCTTCAAAAACTGTAGATCTGTGAGACAGTAGAAGCACACCGCAGTGTGGGTGTTGCTTCCAAAACCTCTGAAAAAAGCGTTCCCTCTAGGGACACTTGCATCAACACCTTATACTGTGTTTTTCTCTGTTTAATTTTTCAAGTGCTTCTGCTGTACGTACAATGAGATGTTACTTAAAGTTTTACTATGCGACTCTGCGAGCAGATCCCTGATTTTGTGTTCTACAAGCTAAAACTAAATGAGTCTGTTTCTCAGATATGAGGCATGTAGTAATTGATAAATTATAAGTCATTTTTGTTTGTCTTGCTAAAGTCTTCTTTTAAAGCTATTTTTAACATTATCCTCTCAATCAGTCCTTTGAATGGAAGTGGGACCATATCGTTTGCAAACGCAATTTTCCGTACTTTACCTATTTAACCTTTGTGATGAATAACATTTTTAATCTTTACAATTGCCCTCAACACAAAATGTAATGACAAATAAATAGAATGTACTTGACAGATGAAAAGGAAAATATTTGATGACTTAACTCTTAATGGTCATTAATAACTACTTTTAATAATCTTTATCTTTTTCCACTGTGTGTCCTCTATCAGGAGTACCACCTCCTGGACCTGGGGTGATGGTCATGCAGCTTAGTGTCCCAAATGGACCTCAGCCCTCCCAGAACCCCCCTCTAGTCCAGTGGAACCCCTGCAAGTACTACAGCATAGAGCAAAGACCCAGCAAGCCAGGAGAGCTTTACAAACCTGACAACACTCCACAGGTACACACAAACCATGAGACTGCAACTTAGGTTAGTCTGCCAGCCCCCTAGTGTTCAACGAACGGGGGGAATTGCACATACATCAGATTAGTACAGAATTCTCATGAATGGACAGTCTGTGTGTTTTAAAGAAGCTGTGCAGATCTGAAAATGTTATCATGTGCTCTGGAGCATGTGTCACATGAGTTCTATGTTCTCCTTGTGTCCAGGCCAGCACCCAGCTGACGAGTCCCCTGGCCTCCCCCACCCAGTCTCCCACCCCGTCTCCCTCCGGTAGCGTCAGCAGTGTCTGTCCAGGCCTGGGACCATTACCCCTCATTTCCCAGTTTCCTCGGCCAGGAGGACCCGCTCAAGGTACAATGAAGAAGGGAATTCATGGAATCATATCTGACTGACGAATATTTAAAAAAAAGACTGTGTCTGTGATCCCCTAACTGAATACACTCAACACATGTTTTCCCCTCATTAATAAATTAGATAGATCTGTGTTTAGATGGGTTTTTTTAGGTTAATGCAAGGTTTAAACAGGGTAAAGTTATTGAATCGTAACCATTAGAAATGATGACTAAACTACAAAAAACAGGTAACAAAAAAGTATGCCAAAGGTAACAGCTACAGTAAGTAAACATCAACTTATCCCACAAACCCTTGTTCACATACTTCTGCTCTTTCACCTAAATTCATCAGTGAGTGTCACGTCACCTTCCCTCAGCAGGTTGACATGACTGGCACTGTGCCACTTGTTAAAACTTTCTGTACCCACCCACAGGTCACATCTCTGCCCTCTGACCCATATTTACTCACACACACCTACAGTAACTTTTTACATAATTGCATCATTCGACAATCCACATAGTATATCAATGATGCTGGTCTTTATATTTTTTATCTTCAGAACAATTAAATAAGAGAAAGATAAGGGGGTATGAGACCTTCTAACCTCTCTCAATAAGGTTTTCTCCTTTTACTAACCAAATTATGAAAAAACTCATTGGGGGCACATCTTGCTGATTCTATAACCCTTTATTGAATCCACCATCTTTTTTTGACTGTTTGTGTAAAGCATTTTATTTTTGAACTCAGGTTTTGCTGCCCCTTTCTCTTTCTTAAAGAAGGAGATTTTAATGTCCATGAGGCATTATAAGACCTGGTTATTCAAAGAAAAAGTAAAAAGGGTTATAATATCCAGGGTTGATTGTTTGTAGTCTAACTTGCTATTCATGTTTTGTAGGTGACGGGCGTTACTCCCTGCTGGGGCAGCCTCTACAGTACAGCCTGTGTCCTCCCCTCATGCACGGCCAGTCCTCCTACAGCTCCCATCAGGTCTGAACATGAAGTCATTTGGTACTGTAATCAGTCACTCCCTGCTAAGTGCTAAGGCTAGCTCTTTAACTCAGTAGATTGCCAAATGGAGCAGCAAGAAATTCAGCCAGTCTCACAGATCCTGAAGTATGTACTAATTCAAAGACTTTGATCAGTGGATACAGAATCGTTTAGAATCGAAAATCGATTCTGAATCGAATCGTGAGACACCCTAAGATTCGTAGCCCTAGTACTTTTTATATGGTTTAGTTTATTTCTGCCTTGAATAGGGCTGAGATAAATTCTTAATGAAAAACACACCTTGCTCACGATTGTTGGTTCTAATCCCTGCTGCTTTGTCATAATGTGGTCAATAATGTCAGGCATCAATAACATCTACTTTGCTTTAAGAACACAAGAACATGTTTTGTGCATTTGTTGTTAACAGGAAAAGAAGGGGGTATACTAAATGAAATCAGATTAAAACAAATGAAGTGCTCAAATTGTTACTTCAGAATGTCTTGAATCAGTGCGTAATGATATTTTTGTGAAGCTTAGATTCGGTCAAAATAAATGTGTCATTGGAAAAAAAGGAACTTAAATTTTAATGGAAAGCCATTGTTCACAAAGAGCTGAGATTTTCATTGCATCTCTTCACTGTTCTCTGATTTAGCGCCCTCTAGTGTTGGGTTGTTTTGGTTCCAGAGAGACTGAGTTTAAGGCTCTGAAGGATGGCTTTACCCCCATCTAGTGTCTTGTTGTGGATCTGCAATGTAAAACTAAGACTCATAACATGTCTTTTATATCATCATATCTTAACTTGTGATTCTTTGTCAATAGGGCCAAGGAGTAATGAAACATGGGGCACGAGGGAAGAAACAAACACTCAAATCAGCATCAACAGATCTGGGCACCACTGATGTTGGTAAGTTAGAGATGCATTATTACAGACCTGACCAGCATGATATCACTTTCGAGTTATAACGTTTAAATCCAGGTAACGTAGTACACACTTCCCTGTGGTTTTCTATTTTCAAGGATCTCTACGTGAAAATAACTTTTAATAATTGAGTTATACTCTGCTCTCATTTGAGCAGGTTTACTGGAAGCACTTCAGATCATGTTTATTTAGCTGGGATGTTTTTCTTGATGGTTTTTGCTATGATGTGAAAAAAGAAGAGAGAATGTAAAAATGTCAGGGATTTTAAAGTATAACCTTGAGTTGATCATCTTGGTTTGGTGTTGTAGATATTTATACTACCTCTCTTTCATTGCAATAGGACAGGTAAAAAGTTCTGTGATGAGCCACTGGTACGCTAAAAAAGATAGTTATAAACTCTCTTCAACCAAAAAGAAACACAGAACATGCAGCTCTTCCTTCACTGGAGAGGCATTCACTTCCTTTTCATGCTGCCATTGTTTAGAGTGTGGTGTACATTTCTGTGAAAAAGAAGCTTGCTCAAAGCGCAAACCGCTTTGTTGGACACAGCCTCATTTCCTAAACCCCACCTGTACATTGCAAACCATCAAGTTGAAGCAGACCACCTATAGACCGTCTGCCTCCAGTATATTAAACTTCATTTTTGGAACAATGATCTCACTTTCTGTCCCTCTCTAACTCTCGTTGTCTCTTTTGTCCAGTGGTGAGTCGGGTACTCGAGGTCACAGACCTTCCAGAGGGGATTTCTCGTCCAGAGGCTGAGAAGCTCTTCAACCAGCTTTCAATGTGCGGTGCCAAGATCCAGTGGCTGAAGGAGCCCCAGGGAGGCCGAGGGGGAACGGGAGGCTGTGGCCCCTGTCCTGTTGCGGGGCCTCCTGGACCAGGAGCCACCACCGGGCCTGGGGCCTGCGCGGGAGCAAAGGGGGATGGCAGTGATCCGGCTCACCTGTACACAGTAGTGGCAGTGTTCCCCAGCACCATGGCTGCACAGAGTGCTTCCTTCAAACTTAACAACAGCGGGGCCAGCCTCTTCAAACTGAGGGCCGCCAAAAAGAACTATGACCTGCGTGTGCTGGAGAGAGCCAGCTCTCAGTGAAAGGAAAAGAGAGGGGTAGGAAACTAAGAAAGTCAAAGAGACAGAAAGAAAGACTCTTGGTAGAGTGGTGGAAAAGGAAGGAGGACTGAGGGGGACTGCTCTTAGTGTACAATTCAAAAACAAAACAGAAAAAAACTTGAGTTAAATGATGTGTCAAATGTATAAAAGGGAAGAAGGTGTGAATCATAAGGTGGCTGGTGTTTGGTTGCAAATATGATTTTGTTGTTTGTTTTTTATTCATTGTTTTGTATTTATATAGCAGAAGAGCACACAAGACACGCAAGCATGTGTTTCACTGTTGCAGTGGAATGTGTGCTGCCATTAAAAACACATGCAATGACACACACACACACACGAACCAGGACACAACAAACACACACAAATGCAGGCAACAGGGTCACGTAGCACATAACAAAAACACACTGGACAGTCGACCTCAGTCAAACCTTTTCCTCCTCTTCCTTCTCCCTTCGCTCTCCGACCCTTCCTCCTTTTTCCTCCTCTTTCTGCCAACACGTCCTCTCCTTTCTCAGCTCTCCATCACCCAGGCGTCTCTTAATCTCACCTATTTATAAATTTTCATACGCACAGTTGCGCAATCTCTCTGCTTACCCCAACTGCCCCCCTCCCCTCTTTTCTTGCCATATCTCATGCTGCCTCCTATCTCCCTACGCTCCTCCGTCCCGCTCATCGGCTCTCTCACTGCTCTCTCCTCTCTTGCTTTCTGTTTGCCTTACTGCTGTTGTGGGTTTCTGTATTGCGCTTTTTTTTTTCTCAGAAGTTTTTTTTGTTTTTTTGTTTTTTGGGATTCAATATATTTATATAAGTGATGTAAGGAATAAAAGAAATCTATATATTCAGTGATTTTTTTCTTTCTTTCCCCCTGAGTGAAAAAAGTTTCGGCCTTCCTTTCTCCTTGACTCCTTCCCTCTTTATCCTCCTCGCCCTCTTCCTGACATTTGTTTCCTCCTTACTACCCTCTACCTCACTTCTTTGGTCCTCTCCTCTCTCCCACAACTGACCCCTCCCCACCCCCAACCACTCCACCCTGACGCCCCATTGTGTTTGCGTTTTTTTGTTGACAGCTGTGCAGAACGTATCAGAAGAAGTAGTAAAGTGCACAATGATTGCATATGTCTACTGTAAATTTTATTTAATCTGTTATTTTTTGTTTGTTTTTAAAAATATAAAAGTCGAGAAAAATCTATCAAAAAAACTGGTGTCATGTGGTTCATGTTTGATGTTGCTGAATCTGAATCTGTGTGTCTTAACAGCATTTTCTTCAGTGCTACTAACCATAATGTTAAAGTCTCTATAAGGATGGTTATCATTCTTATAAGAGATATATCCTCATTTTATAAAAGTAATGAAAGAGGAGTTATTTGATAAACATTTTTAATATGATCAACAGTGCCACATCAGCTGCTAAATTGATCTTGTGATAGTTTTGTTTTCCCTATATTGATCGTTTCTTCTTGAACATTGATGGAGAGATAAACTCTTCATCCAATGGGGAGCATGAGATTAGGCTAACATCTAACCTAATGTTAATGTTCTTTTAAACACACCACCAGAACAAACACAGTAAGCATACACCAGACAGAAGACAACGCTGCTTTAGATTGGTTTAAAAAAAACAAAAAAAAAAAACAGAGGAGATGGTTATTAATGCTCTGAGAAGCTCCGCTGTCACTTAAGGGAACAAAAATACAGACTTCTCCTAATCCGGCCATGAAATATTGTCTAAACTTCAGCTTAATATTAGTCTTTAAACTAATATTACTACCCAGGACAACGACTGAAAGTGACTGCTTACAGTGATTTTAGCTAATTACACTCACTTCTTTGATTAATTTCGTGCATTTCACTTTCCAAACTACCACTGTATTGAACTTGCCATATTGAAAATACATGAAGCTTTGGTGCAATGTCACCCCCTACACAAGAAATGTAGACCACACATCCCTACACTCTTTCTTTTTCTGTCCTCCTGGTCGATAAGAGCTTATACCAGATCGTTTTGTCTGACCTTGGTGATCCTCTCGTTCTTCTCTGCCTGTTATCGTGCTGCCTCATACTGGGCACCATCTCTGTGTTTCATGAGATTATCCGTGCAGAACTTTCTCTTTGTTTGCCGGTTGAGCCGGTGAAGCTCGAATGGTGATGAGCACCAGTACTACCAGGTAGGCCTACGTTATTGATAATAAGGCTGAGGGTTGTCTTCATGATGTTTGATGTTGCATTTCTCTTCATCATTTAAACAGGGCTGTTTCTGTTATTGAAACTAGCATGATTGCATGTTGTTGTTGTTTTAGATATTAAATTGGTTCATGTGTGTTTCTCTTATCTGACCCTTCAGTTTATTCACTGAGAATTCACTGTGTTTTTCAGAGGGAAGAAGGAATAGAAAAGCTGCCATAATTGAAGTATGGCGTCTTGGGGTAGTGGCCAGAACGACAGACGCCCGCAGACCAGTGTGCCCCCTGGTCAGGATCCACCCAGCCTCCACCATAAAAGGCTTCTGCTGGAGGGAAGAAGGCACCAGAAGCGTGCCAAGCAGAACCAGATTTGTGACCCACAGGTAGACATCATATAGTGGCAACTGGAGAATATGCGTAAAACCATTGATTGCATGGCTGCAAATCAACCCTGCCCATTTGAACTGCCCCGGCAGACTCCTCCATGTGGGCCTCCACATCCTGCATGGACGCCCTGACCGCTGTGGGTACAAAGCCCAATATGTGAACAAAGGGATGCTCTGTGTTCTCACACCTGTCTATCAGAACACACTTTTTTCATATTTAGCAATTTGATCCCAATCTGCTTCTCTGTTGGATCAGACCACATGGGCCTATCTTTGCGCCCCAAGCGCACCAATGTGAGCCATGGCCGCCCATGACCCTGCATGTTGCCAGGTTTTCTATTTTTACTTCCATTGAGCACTTTTGGGGGGTACAGTCCACTGCAGACATGGATCACCCTACAAGAGCTGAACTAAACATGACACAGATGTCACGTGTAGCAGACCAATAAACTCCCAGTATATCAAACTACAATCACATCAATTTAAAATATACAAATCTATTTATTTAGTTCAAATTAAGACTATGTTTTTGGTTAAAATGACCTGAGCTATGCGTAACAAAATGTCATTTTTAGATAGAAAACATAGTGACAGAAGAAGATGAATGACATGCAGCTAAGTTTCCATTTGTACACCTCAAAGCTCAGGGGACACACCTTTTCTTTAGGACATGAACATTGAAGAGCAGATACATTTATTGAACCAATTTAGCTCTCTGCTGTCATAGCCAACAGCACAAACAAACACTTGTGCTATACATTTACATGGAAGACAATAATCTATACTCACTATACTATAATGTATATTTTCTTATTCTTAATTCTGCTTTAGAGTAAGTAAAGCATTCTGATTTTCTTTGTAGCTCCTCAGCCTACAAAGTGCTCAGCTGTCACAAACAGTCAGGCACACCCACACACATACAGAGGCAGGGCTAGGCCGGGTGGGCCTGCTGGCATTACTCATCCCAATGTCCCACCTGTTGGAGCTTCATAAGGAAAGTTGAGCACGTAAAGGACTGGACAACAGGAATGGTAGAAAAATAAAGAAAGAGTTCCAGGAAGTTTCAGGCTACAAAGACACCTCCAGTGGAACCAGTACTCTTTTGGAAGAAGTGGAGTCAACGGTAAGTTTACACTTTTTGGCATCAAAAATAATGAATGTTTCTTTTCCTTTGAAAAAAATGTAACCACTCACTTAAACTTACAAGAAATGTAAGTGTTTCTCTGAATGTCCTTAACATGTATTTCAGTACTCAGAGCAGGTGGGACCACCCTACATTTGTCTTATATTTTATTCCAAGTGGGCTGTTTCACTTTTCTAAATCAAGTTGATCTGCCAGAACAAACTTCTGTGTTCAAAGTATCTTGGAACATGACAGCATTTAAGCAATACTTGGTCAGAATAACTGTGAATTAAAATGTGTTGTTTGTGGTCGTGTCTGATATAGATTGATCGATTGTTATAAATCAAACAGAAAAGTTGCTCGATCATGAGATTTACAGGGATTTTTGATTGACACTCTAAAAATCCTTTTGCAGCAGCAGAAATGATGCTCATGGGTTTTCTGTCCTGTAGTGCCATCTGCTGGACCAGAATCTGAGTATCTGGAGGAACTAAACATCAACCATGGCTCATTATGACTCGTAAGTTCAGTTCTTAGACAGGCCCAGGACAGAAATAACTTTATCTAAACATGTTTGCATCACTAATTGATGAATTACCGTCAACTGTGAGGGAAAAGTCCTCCATGTTTAAGGAAAGGTAAACTGTGGTCAGGATGTAATAGAAGAACCTTTTAACAATGAAAAATAGTATAAAAAATAAACAAAGAAAACACAAATCTGAATGTGATGAAATGCTATTAAGTAAAATATAAAGAAATATAAGAAAGTAAAAATATAAACTTAAATATGTCATGTCAGACAGGCACAGGCCACCATATGGACGAGACATTTTAGTCTATTGCTCTGTAGCATTTAAACATTTGCTTGTTGATGAGCGTTTTGTTTCCTGGTGATGATAGGTTGGATGACAAGGACTCTGTGGATATTCATGACAACCCGCCTCTGCCTGATAATGTGGTGAAAGAGGAGGACAACACGGTGAGACATCCAGTAACCAATACCATGTTGTACTAAATGCACATCAAGAGACTGATTAAAGGGAAATATTCATAATCCTGACTGCTTAGTACATATGTACTAGTACAGAAAAGTATTTTCTGCAGCTTGTAGAACGTTTTATCAGAGAAATTATATGATAAACAGAATTTACCAAATTGCCAAATTATCAATATTAGCAGACAATATAGAAGAGAAAGCGAGGCCAACACACAATTCTAAACGTCCCGTATCACATTTCTAAGTCCAAAATGGCACTTTATTGATTTGATAAAACATGCAGGCAAAGCAATAAACTTAAACTATCTGATCAGTCTTATACCAGTAGAGCAATATATGCTTTAATTTGGGAGACTGAGTAAACTGGACCTTTAACAAATCCCATTTGTATTCATTAAGCATGACATCACATTAACACAGATCTCACGTTACTTATTAATCACCAAAGTTTGTTTAAATAAGTCCACAGTGGACTGAAGTACTGAGTCAGTGGGAATCTTTAGGAATCCTGAAGGCTGAATCACTCAGACACTCAGTAAAGTGATGCTGCTGTCATGTGTGTGAACTGTCCTCTGGATTATCTTCTATTGTAGTGTTAATACGCTGCCTGACTGACACAACACACCTCTAATCCTGCAAGTGACCGAGAATCAGAGACAGCTCAGTCTGTCAGGCGTCCCTGTGCGTGTGTGTGTGTGTGTGTGTGTGTGTGTGTGTGTGTGTGTGTGTGTGTGTGTGTGTGTGTGTGTGTGTGTGTGTGTGTGTGTGTGTGTGTGTGTGTGTGTGTGTGTGTGTGTGTGTGTGTGTGTGTGTGTGTGTGAGTGAGTGTGAGAGAGACATCCCTACGCCTCTGTTTGACTAGACTGGTGTATATATAGGAGCTCAGTGTCAGGCTTTGTTACATTAAGTTGGGAAATCTGTTGGTCTCCACTGAGGTCTATTTTAAGATCTAAGCCCTTTTAGACAGTCCCACCGGTGTGTTTGTGTGTCTGTGCATGCTTGGCAACATGGGTTTATGTGTGTTTTTTGTGTGCATAAAAAAGCACACAAAACTCACAGAATCAAGCAGAATTACTTTCTGAACGCAATTTAGAAATCAAACTCAATATGATTTAAGAGACAGACAGCTGTCACGACATGTTATGTTTGATATCATTCATGGTTCCAGACAGACTCCATATGACTCAGACTGTTGTGTGGATCAGTATTAATAGAAACATCGTCATGTAAATCTGTCAGGCTGTGGTTAGTGCATGACACTGGGACTGGGAAAAATAGAGCCTTAGCTTTGTAATCGATATTTTAGGTCATCAATAAGTGGAACCTTACATTTCAACCTTATAGAAATTGATTTAAACCCTTTGATAATTTGGCATTCTTACCAAGTTTTTTGATGTGATAGTTATTTACAACAGCTTAAGAGCATCTTGTCATGTTGTTCATGAAGCTCCAAATGCCACAAACTTGGTATAAAATAAAGGAGAAAATTGTGTTTTTAAAAACTAAAATTAAACTGTAGTCGGATCCAATCCTGTTTTTTTTTAGAACTACAAAATCAAGGTGAATTTATTCTTTCGTTTGTTTACTAAAAACAAACCGGCCAAATGGACAAAGTCCATTGTGTTCCATGTTAAATGTCTTCCAGTAGTCATTCTTTGGTTGTACAATCATCCTTACTTGTTTTAATTTTTGGATGCTACTTCCCTGTATCCAGGTTTACTTTATCTATGATGAGGAGGTCGAGGATGAGGACAGAGAGGAAGCACCTCCTGCAGAACCCTTCAGACCAGTAAATGACAGACCTCACAAGTTCAAGGACCACTACTGCAAGAAACCCAAATTCTGTGATGTCTGTGCGCGCATGATAGTGTGTACGTCTACTTGGTCTCTGTTTGTTTCCTGGAGGACATGATAAGTCGACTTTAATGCATCTTTAGACGCATTACTCCTGATATCATTTTGCTTTATTTTCTCTCCAGTGAACAATAAGTTTGCATTGCGATGTAAGAACTGCAAAACAAGCATCCACCATCAGTGTCAGTCCTACGTCGAGTTCCAGAAGTGCTTTGGCAAAATAGTAAGCTGAATGTTATGAAATACAACTCAAAAAAGTGCTGCAGATATATTTATATATGTAAGATATTCAAACGACATGCTCCTCTCGTGTTATTTTAGCCTCCAGGATTCAGAAGAGCGTACAGTTCTCCTCTCTACAGCAGTCAGCAGAATGCGACAGTCTCACAGCTGCTGCCTTTTTGTAAGTTTTCTATTCTGGAGAAATTCTACCTTAAATCACATTAACCATTCATGTACTTGATACTGGAAGCTTCACTTGTAAATAGTCTTTGATATGCACAACTTCTCCCCTGCTAGATGTAAAGAAAGCAGGTGAGAAAGTAGGGGAAGCAGGGGAAAGTGTAAAAGCATATAATGTATGTTACAAACCTCTATTCTATTTTAGTAAAGGTTAATCTGAACATTTCAGTCTGCTTGTTTTAGTTTCGCTGAACAAATACTTTAAACTGAATGAAATACTATTAGCAAGACTTCACAATGTTTAATGAGAGATGTGATATTTTTATTATTCCCACATCCCATTAAAGAGATAAAAAGATAAACAGTTTCTTCTTAAGGGAAAAAGTTGTTTTTTCTGTGTATAGGTGTGTAGGTAAGCACAAGTTACAATAGCCTATAGTAGCAATCATCAGTCTTGTTTTTTTAGTCAGTTACAATGAAGCCCATCAGATTTGACTACCTATTGTCAGAAGCTTCAAAGTTCTTCCCAATCACGTTTTCTCTTTTTTTTTTGTGGCTTTTGACATGCAGCACAGTCAAACCGCACTGACCCTGTGTTTGAAACTCTGCGTATTGGTGTGATCATGGCCAACAAGGAGCGTAAAAAAGGCTCTGAGGACAAGAAGAATGTGAGTGTGAGACTACAATGACAACAATTTAAACTTGTGTGTGCACAGGCTCAATTCATTGGTGAATTCCTTCATTGTAATTTGTCTACTAGTTGAACTATTTCAATCCTTTTGAGCCAGAGTGCAGACTTTATTAAACCCTGAACCCAACTCAAGTAGAAGCTACATTATTCTTTGGTATTTTTCCTTCATAGTTTTGCATTATTTACTGTAAAATAAATTTGATTTGCTTACCTTTTCTTTCTTCTGTGTCATATTTTTTTTGCTGGTTTAATCTCATTCTAAAAGCAGAATTTAGTTTTAAAAATATTTCATAGTAAGTTGTATATAAAAGCATCTCTCTAGTTTGTCCCTCTTTGTTCAGATGATGATGATGATGGAGGACGATGAGTCCCAGCCCAAACAACACGATGAAGGAGGTGAAGGAGGTAAATGTTTGAGGGGGAATGATACAATAATGTTGCATCCTCTTTTACATCTGGATTAACCCGGATGTTTGCTCACTTTTTATGTCTTATTATTATCTTATTATGTTAAATTTTGACGTTTCCATGGATATGTATAACAACATAAATACCAGCAAATATACTGCACATTGATCATGATATATAAAAGTAATTATTTTTCTCTTTTTTTGTTTGTTTGTTTGTTTGCTTCATACATAAATTGACTGTGCGATTGCCAGCGACCACAGAGGGAGACAAAAGAGGAGACAAGACTCCTGCTGATGACAAGGTCAGAGGAGATGATGAAAAATAATATACTGAAAAAAATAAACGACAGACCTTGAAAATGATCCACTTCTAATGATATTGACAACACTGATCACATTTAAATGTGATCTACGTGGAGGAAACGCTCTTAATGAATACAGGTACTCTGTGTTTTGTGTTAATCAGAGTAAAAAGGTTCAGCCGGGGAAGATCGGCGTGTTCAGTCAGTCTCATTACTACCTGGCTCTGTACCGCTTCAAAGCTTTAGAGAAAGATGATCTGGATGTTCAGTAAGCCTCTCTGCACACTTTGAAGACATTCAAGATCAAATATACCTTTTTTCTGTAGTTATTTATGATTTGGATATTTAAGTCTCCCCTAAAACAATTCTCATGTCCTGTTTGTTTCATAGTGCAGGTGATCGCATCACAGTGATAGACGACTCCAACGAGGAATGGTGGAGGGTGAGTCCTCCACATGTCTTCTTATATTGACACATCTCACAGTGATGTCAAGGTGGATTTTAGTCAAGGTGAACTCTGCGGAGATTGTGATTTTCATATATAATTAACAGGCATCCAGCTGGCTTGAGGATAAAACAAGTCGATTTGTTCATAATTTTGTTCTGAGATTTTTCCATTAGTCGGTCATTTCAGAACACCAAGCTGGGGGGAAGGTTCAACACGGCTGCTTTAGATGTCTTTTCTTTTTTTAAATTCTCATTTCCTTAATAAGTAAATGGACATTCAATGGTTAATACTGTACATAACAAAGATGAAATTACATAATGGTGATTTGGTGAAGACATTTGGTTCACATTTCATGTTTATATCTTTTGATCCAGAATTGAAAAACATTGGCCGTGTTTACATCGTGTTCCACAGTTGTTGTTTACTGTTCTGTCTTCTCTGCATCATGTGTCAAGCTGTTTTTGTCAGACCTTCAGGTTTCAGAGCCACGCTGAACAGTATGTCCATTTCTAACAGATCTGGATCAGTAGCTGGAGCTGCAGAAACTCACTGTGAAAGCTTTTCGTCTTTTTTTATTCACACCAGGGGAAGATCGGAGAGAGAACAGGCTTCATACCAGCCAGCTACATCATCAGAGTGAGAGCAGGAGAGAGCGTCTACAAGGTGACTCGCTCCTTTGTCGGCAACAGAGAGATGGGCCAAATCACTCTGAAGAAAGACCAGGTATACACACACACATGCACACACACACAAACACTACAGATATACAGATGTAGACTCTCTTAAAGGGATGGATACACATGATTATATAACCAAACAACTACAAAATTAATTCTATCCTAGTTATACATCCAAACTCAGCTGAGCTAATACTAAAGACTGAGAACATAAAATATGTCTGTGTGTATGTATCTTTCTATGGCTGTGAGGAAATTTGATCTTTTGAACACACACACCTTTTTTGTTTTAGTCATACTCAGTGTGTTAAGGAAATGTCCACAATAACATGCAACATAAACCACTCTCTGAACAGCTGTGAAATTCATTCTCTATAAATTGTTTTACCGAATAAACCCTAAATTAATCATGGGTGCAGATGGCCTAATGGTTTTGTCAAGTGCCTCATGCACGGAGGCTGAGCCTTGGGTTCAAATCCCACCTCTGCCCTTCGCTGCATGACATCCCTCACTCTCTCCTCCCAACTTTTTCTCTCTTTTGAGCCGTCCTATCCATTAAAGGCAAAAATGTTAGTTAAGAGACCTTTGCACTTTTCTAGATAAATAAGAATGTCTAGTCAGCCTCTACTAATCCCAACCATAAATATAAACAGGACTAATGGAGGCATAATTTTGGCTTGTGTCCTCAGATTGTGGTGAAGAAGGGGGATGAGGTGAACGGCTACCTGAAGGTCAGTACAGGTCGGAAGCTCGGCTTCTTCCCCGCCAACCTGCTGCAGGAGATCTGAGGAGGACCAGCAGGCATCTCTCTCCTCTAGCAGGCTTTAGGTGCAGCTTCTTTCCCTGCTGTAGCAAACACGCTTACTGTATATTTGAAATTTTACTTCAACTCATATTGTTTTGACTTCTTTTGTAAACTTTACACGTATGACTATAAAGTCTGTGTGCAAAATATATTGAATTGAATTTACTCTGTGCACAGAAACATTTGGTAAATACCAGGATTAAAAGATGATTCACCAAATCTTGCAAACTGAGCATCACTGTGACTGTAAAATAAAAGGATGCTGACATTGTTTTCCATGAAAGTGTTTAGCTGTCCTTTGCATGATGACGTTTTTTTTCGTGACATATATTTTATATTGTTGATATTGTCTGATGTTGGTAATGAAGGATGCTTTTAGTCTGCTGGACTTGCTTGTCGGAGCCTGTCCAGGGCTTTGCTGGGTACCCAAACAGGACTCAATTGCTATAATACATACAGCAAGTTATGAAAGCATGGATGAGTGTCTGCCACTGAGTCTCTACATGATGCCTGGAGTCCAGAAGTTTCTAGAGATGGTAGAAAGTAGATTATGTGATGGGTGTGATATGTGACTTGAATTAGAGGATGGAGTCCAGAATGACACCCATACCCTTTTGGTTTGGCATTTGGAGCAAAAGTCACCATCAAGGAAAAATATCTCTGAAGCATCACTTAAGAAGTCACAACTATGAGTTCTGTTTAGCAGCTGTTCAACTTGAGTAGGTTGGATAACATTAGTGTTGTAATGTTGTGCAGACAGTTAACAGACTAAGAGGGAAAATGTGATTTGCATATGCCTCAGTGAAAACAATCAAAAGGGAATTTGGGAATAATGCATCTTACCTGGTCATCAAGTCATTGATCACGTCCCAGAAAAAAAAGGAATGCATGGATCGCATTGGATCCATTGAAAATGGATATGAACATCTGAGAGCATCTGGTGTGTTAACCCCAGTGTTCTGACTGGAGCATGTCAGTTCAACAGCTCAGGGGAGTATTGTGGTACCAGCCCATACGGAAAAATGTTTTAAAAACAAGTAATAAGCTCTTACACTGGCTCATATAACACGTTACCTATTTGCAATAACACACCTTCCCCTGTATCAAAGTATAATCATGTAATGTTCTAGAGTTTGTGTCTTTCCATCAGTCAAACCCATGAAAGAAGATGTAGATATCACTTTCTTATATGTTCATGAATTGAGTTTCTTTCATTACACAGGCATGCTATGTATGTATGTGTGTAATTTGAGTGTCAAAGAGAAGAATATGCAGGGTGAAGAGATCCTGGGTTTATTATAGCTTAGTTATTAGTGTCATTCAAAGTGAGGGGAAAAATGCTTTTATTTCCTCACATCAGGGGGGGGAACAAATGAGGGGATCGAAATGAGACTGAGGCATTTCCAGAACTTCAAAAGGAGGCAGAGTTGTTTTCTGAGTGCAGCGTAATTAGTCACAGCACAGGAATAGGTTGCTATGTAAAGGAATAGCTCAGAGATCAGGAATGCAGGGAATGGCATCTGCAGGTCCGCAGAGACATACAGGCCTAAATAAAATGGTATGCAGACAGACAGACATAGATCACTAATATTTCCTTTTTCACACGTCTCCCCTTTCAATAAAATATACCTTTTCATTTAATTCTTAAAGTCATAACATTTCTGTTTCTGTTTGTGTCTTATTCCTCCTGATTCCATCATCTCACTTACTCCTCACATTCGGATGCAGATGATGAGTTTCCCGGCCACAGCGATTTCCTCCTCTGTTGTCTGTCAGAAGAAAAGAGCCCTGAGCCTGGGCAGGTAGCACCGGCAGGCTTCAGCAGTTGTCTGATTGGACAACAGAGAACCCCTTCAGACACGGGTCACTTCTTCCTGGGGAAGAGCCTCTGCTTGATGCTGCTCTGGACTGAGGGACTGTGGGGAAGATATCACGGCTGCCATGTTGTCACTGCTGACCTTTTGACCCTGCCACTCCAGCTGGAGGAGGGTTGCCAAAATGTTTGTGGACGTCTGTTGGTGGATGATCTTTTGTGTGTGTGTGTGTGTGTGTGTGTGTGTGAGAGAGTGTGTACATGTGGTTGTGTGTGTTGGGGGGGGGGTGATGGCATGATGCTGTGGCAATGAATGTGTTTAACTCAGGAGAATTTCATTTTCACTGCAGACCACATCAAAAGCCAAACTAGTAGACACTGAATAAATTGAGTTTTTTTAGATAAAACGTAGGACATAAAAAGCGTCATTTATGGAGCGTGGCTGAGTGAACAGATCGACAGTTGTTGATGTTGGCCTGGAGACTTTGGCTTTTCTAGATTGATCAAAAGTTTGGTTGAGATAACATTTCCAAAATGGTGACTGCAACTGTTGGGCTTCATCATGTTATGTTTTTAATGTATACAGATCTTGTATACAAGATCTAAACCCAAGGTTCTCTTCCTACTTGTTTTAGAACATTCAAATTAATCATTCTGTCTATTACAGGCATTCTAAAAATTACTAATAATTCTACACTTTTCTAGATTTTAAAAAAAAAATGTATGTTTACTACTTGGCACTTTATCTTAAAGGAGGGAAACATGTTATTTATGCACATTCCAATATTAACTCTAGCTGCTTGGATTGTCATTATTGTCTGCTTTAGCTTGGTTTTGAAAGGCTAAAGGTATAACTGTTTAAGCAGCTCCATAAGTTACAGTCACAACACTGTTTTGACTGCTGTCAGCAGAAAGATTCCTTTAAAAGAATTTCCACAAACGTAATAGCACAATAAAAAAATAAAAAAATACATTAATACTTAAAAAACGTATGACTAAATGCACTGCAAAATGCAACATGTATTTATTGTGTGTTCAATTACTCTCAAAAGCCCCTCGAAATAAAAGAGTATTCATTCATATAATATAAATGTAAAACAGAAGCTTATTTGTAAAACCAAGAGAAAAAGTAACAAATGACATAACTATTGCGTTTTTACTTAGATGTTTAACATGTAAAGATAATTTTACCCAACAGAGGTCCCTGTTGCACTAGATATTGAACACTCAACTCAACACACCACAGGAAACCAGTGAGTGTTTTGTAATGAGTAACAGCTGTGAGGCTGGTGTGCAGTCTGTGCGGCCAAAAAATCACAGGCCTTCAAATAAAAACATTTTTTATTTGAAATTAAAATGTCAATGATCATGTTTCTGTAAATAGTTGCTTGAATGTGTTAATATAAATCAAAACAGAGCCCATATTTTCATCAAGTGAGGTTCTGTCCATACAATCCATTGGAGAAATAAAATAGCTGGTCGTCAGATAGTTTGTATAAAGCAGGGTGGTCAGTTCCAGTCCAAAGTTCCACATTCCCCCTCCGTCTGAGATGGTTTCGGCCACATTCAGCTTGTTACTTCCCATGCATAACAGAAACGAATGTGCTTTATGTCATTTCCTGCAATGTTTGCTAATACAAATTTAAGAGGTGTCATCGTGCGCTTATTGATGTAACAGTAAGGCATCCCCTTTTAAGAGTGCAGGCTCTGCATCATCTCATTGACCCACCATATTCAGAAACACATTTAGCATCCAGTCGAAGAGAAAAATCCATCTTCCCTCCTCCAGCCGCCGAGAAATGTAGCAATGTGTGAGGAAGAATAATAACATAAAACTATATCAGAGATCCTCTTTGCACAGCACAGATTGTATTGATTTTGGAGAAATGTTTCAGAAAGTCTCTTCCATGAACGCTGCAAAAGCTGCTTCTTCTTGCGGTCCTCAAAGCAACAAAACATTTTAGGCCTTTTTACAAAGCTTTGGGAGTCGATTTATATTTAGAAATGTTTTACTCTCTTGCTCTCTGTCTGTCTTTGTTTTTGTGACATGTGTGTGTGTAATAGGGTGAGTGTGTATCAAATCTCGTATTTCCTGCCAAAACCTCTGAAGCGTTAGATTAAAGCTCTGACATGATTCTTTTAATAACTGTTGTAGAATAACACCTCTTTTATTTCCATCCATTTCTCATTGAGGCGCTAAAATTCCATTATCTAATCTGATTTGTGCAATTATTAATCTTCATTGCCCTTATTTACAAAGTGACTTTGCAATATTATGTGTTACAAAGGGGTGGAAATGGTTTAAGTGGCAGTTGTAGTTGTTTAGTGATGGTGGGAGGTAGGTTCAGTGCAGGTCAGGGGTTAGACACACAGGTAAGATATCACCATTTAACAATTCAATGTGTTTATAAGCACCAACTGCTAAAAGTAGGCCCACAGGGGAAGACAGTAACTAAATATTGTCAGTCGGTATATACAGTACAGTAATGTTCTTGACTGTGTTTACAGCGCATCTGTCCATTCATCAGTGTGTGCAAAGGGGAGCAAGAGAGACGAAGAGTGTTGGTGGTGTTTGTGTGATTTCATGCTTGTGATGCAATAAATTAAAGATGGAGATGACACATGCACAGACATAAAGAGAATGACAAGTTTACCCACTGACTCCCAAGGCCCATAGAGAGAGAGAGAGAGAGAGAGAGAGAGAGTGAGAGATGAAGAAAAGGCTGGAGAGAAGACTGCAGGGTTGGAACCAATTAGGCCAGGAGAGGCTCCCTCCACCTGCACTGCGAGGGCCCCCGGGGGAGAGCCCTGGTGACAAGATGAGGGATCATCATCATTACCATTATTTATTTGCTAAGCAGAGGCCGACTCTAGGGCCAATCCTAATAGGATTCCCGAATTACAATGAGCGTCTTTTTTGGGGGGTGTGGGCACTAAGGATGCTTGAGGAGGAGGGGAGGGTTAATGTGTGGATAAAAGCCAGCATACATTTGGAAAAATATGTCTAGCTTATGCTAAAATAAATGCCTTTTAATCTATTATGCAGACCTATTACAGGCTTCGAGGCTATCATCAATAATATATGTGATGTCCCAGGTAGTTTTGTATGTTGTGTGAAAAGGTCATGTCCCCCCTTAACTCTACTTTTTAGGTACATCCTATTAAAGTCACATAAGACAGAGTTTTCTCTTATTTTGAGTTGCACCCAAAGTTTTTCATATAAACTTGTTTGTTCTGGTAATAATTTCAATTCAGTTCAATCAAATTCAAACTTTATCCCAGACTCAAGGTCCAGATACAAGACAACATGATAAAAAGAGAGAGAGCACCACACTAAAGAAATCTACAAAAGCACGATAAGTTTTCTTTTGTAATTGTCATTTTACTGCATCTCACCATGTTGAAAGAAATATGTTTGTTCTGTTAACTCTCCTGAGAATTCCTTTGTTTTTTCAGTTGTTGTTGCTGTT